ACGCCTAAACACGGATTTTGTATGAGAAATTTCGACACAAAACTTCTCCAGATAGTTCACGGTGGTGTCGCTTCAGCTGTTAATAGCTTGTCTGTGGAACACGAGAATCAGGTGAAACCAAATGCAGACGTCAGTCTAAATCCTTTCTTTGTGAAGGATTCAGGGATTCGCCGGCCACCAAGGTAACTGTGCCTCCTTCAATTCACGTCCTTTTTCGTCTGTATCTTTATATATTACACTTTGATAGAGTCAGACTTTCTACGCATGCATAGCTTATGATTGCCAGAATGCGCTTATTAATCTTTGATTTCTCCACTAAAAAGTAGAATCCCTTTGCAGTCATGGAAAGAGAGGTGTAATATATTCTAGTTGTTTAAGTGGACCTTTAAAGAGGAGAGGCGGAAACCAATTGGAAGCGTGGATCACGTGCGCGAGGTCGACGAGGAGCCTCCCTGCGATTGACACCTCCTGTTCATCACATCTGTATCTTATTCCCCTATCCTTCTTATAGAGATGCCTAATAAATCGTCTACAACCAATTTCCCCTTAAAGTCTGAGAACCAGGGACCAGAGAGTAGACAGGCAGTTACTACAAGAGGTTCTGGCTTTCCGGCCGAGGGAACTCGATTTTGAGGTATTTGCATGCATTTAATTAATGCATTATCCGATCGAACCATTGCTCGCCGGCTTGTTCATACTGTTCTTTCCCGAAAATCGGTCGACTAATTGGCAAAGTTTAGCAACGCAAACGTAGGATGTTAGTGTAGTTACTGCCTGTCTACCCTCTGGTCCCTGGTTCTCAGACTTTAAAGGGAAGTTGGTTGTAGACGATTTATTAGGCATCTCTATAAGAAGGAAAGGGGAATAAGATACAGATGTGATGAACAGGAGGTGTCAATCGCAGGGAGGCTCCTCCACTTACACAACTAGAATATATTACAGTCAGTAAAACAGCGGTGTCTGTTGGGCAATTAATTTGCCCGCACACTATGTCGCTTTCAAAAGCACCTTACACCTAAAAGTCGTTAAGAAAACGTCGGGTTCGCTTTCCGCTGCCACCAGTGTAGCGTCCCGTGGCTTCCCTTAGGATGGAAGAAGGCATAAGTGAGGTTGAATACACGTATTCCGAAGACGACAGGACTACTGGGGTCTGAGCGTGGCCCGGAGGCCAGCCCCCGTGTACAGGGGCCGGACAAACTCTAAAGTGACCGCCAAATGTCATGTGGTCACATAAATAAAGTATTACAAGGCTAAGCAGTATGTCTCCTTGAACCGCCGAATATGATGTTAAGATTTGGTAAGGAAGATGTAGGAAGACAGCACGCATACAAACCTGCATAGCCTGGTCTCGTGGGTGCCTTCTTGTATCACCGAATATGATGTGATGGCTGGCGCGAGAGGTGTACCAAGGAGAGCGTCGAGGGTATCGCTCAAAAGAAGAGAGTGGCAGTGTAGTGCTTTGCTTATGTGACCACCTGGTGTTTCGCGGTCACTCTAGGATTTGTCACGCCCTTTTATACGTGGGCTGGCCTTTGAGCCATGCCCAGGCCTATTTGCCCTGTCCTCTTTGGAATACTGCATTCGTTTACCGGGTAGAAAGTCTTACGACGCTACATCGTAAAACAACAAAACTTCGATTTTCTCAAGTATATTGACACCGTATTCTTTGTTGATGCTATTTCGCTTCTGGCCATCCGAGTTACCTAAATGTTTTTATGGTGTACTTTTATGCAAGTTTTGCATTGATAATTAAGAAATGCGAGTGCTTTGGGCATTTTACTCTTTTTAAAGCATTATTTGCGTGTACTACGAATCGTTTAAGTTGTCTTGGACAGCTAGAATGACCTCATCGCGTAATTGAACAAGAAAATGTGCCTGAAATGCGCGGAAATACAATAAACCACATTTGCTTTCAGTATGCGAACATTCCATTGTATAGCATATGCTCTCATCATTCTTATAATTACTAATACACACCTTTGTTGCAAAAACCCACAAATGGCATCGCAGGCCTTAAGATTTCTCTTATTCGGCGATGCCAAACAGAACCAAAGATTTGAGGACGATGAGTTAATTACACCGAACTCAGGTACACATTTTGAGCGTGATCTCATTGCCGCTTTAAGCTCCTCCTTTACAACACTGCCATGCTTCGGTGGAAAACTGTTGCAACATTGATGCGGAAAATATCTACCTTGCGTATAAATTCGCAGATGATATAAGCGCCGTATCGAAGATTGGATTTATAAGAACCCAACTAGATTCGTTTTTTCCTATTTTTATAAGTTTGCCTAACTAATTTCTATGAAAACCTTTTTTCAGAGCCCTTTATTCAATCACTTGAATTGTATTTAACCGACGTATTCACAAGTGGCATCACGAGTCAACTTCCGCCTCACCAGATAGCTACTTCAGTTTCAAAACTGTACTCCTCAATCCTTTCAATGATTAGTATGCCTGAAAGAATGAACTATCTTCAGGCTTCAATAAAGTAAATGGCTACCCAATTTTAAAGTGCAAATTCTATAGGAACGTGTTGCTAGAACTGAAGCTCATCTCAGCTACCTACCTAACTAGGCTCAATCCGGAATTACAACACTGTCTGAGCAATGATGCAGAAATTCTGAATTTACTAGAAATTGTGAAGCCAGACGCAATCGACATCTCAGCTTATAGAATTCAAGATGATTTGGAAAATAATCTTGTAAAGTACTTAGACCACTTCTCGTTTTTCATTGAGGTGGGCTCTTCAGTTGACAGCATCCATGATGGTGTCCATTATACATTCAAATTTATCACTGCTTTTTGCTCCATCAGATTCTCTCAACAATTAAGCAGCAGAAGCTGTCAGAATCCTGCGCTGCCGGTTTTGAGCAACTTTTCTTCTGCCGTCTCTGCCAAAGTCAAAACTCTTCATCACAAAACTACAACAAGGATGTACCTCAGGTCATCAACCTCATCGGTCCACCCTGTCCTCACAGGTGCCTGAATGTAATTCGTGGATGCTATGCCAGCCTTACAGGCGTCCTGCCCCAACTTTCTCAACTGAGTAAAGACTTCATCGACCTAAGCCGTCTGCTGGCTCAAATCACCTCCAAGACTCCAGACACTGGTGGCGCTTTTCTCCATAACCACTTTCTTGATGAAATGCGTGAATGGAGCAAAAAGCTTGAAAGTCTACCGCTGGCTCAATGGACTTCTATAAGGGAAAAGGTGAAATGAGCATTTCAGTTGGCTTAATTAAGTGTGCGAAAGTCTTTCAACTCTTTGCCCGCATCCATGGGAAATCACTTAGTAATTTTTGCAATCCTAAAGTCATTTTTCTTCAATCTTTAAAATAACATATTTTAAAAGTAGTTTGCATCCTTTTTTACACTTGTTTGCTCCTACGGTCTCGTGAATATCCTCAATACAATCTTGTAAGCTGTATCTTATTGCCAAGGCTTACTGGGTCTTCATGAGAATGAGTCCATCACAGAGAGAGTTGAAGAGAACACTCATAATTTTTAAGCGAATTTTCAACTCTTAAAAGCGACTACTTAAAATGGAATTCAGTTCACCAAATCACTAAGCAGCTACTCCATTTTCACTTTCCGACTTGTAGACAGTCAGACTTTTGCTGCTTCAATTAGAGAACCACTTTCTGTTTCATTCATGACCATTTATCAAGCAGTTAGTTTGGAGAAACGTTAGGAAGTGGTAATGCAATAAAGGGCGGATGCACCAGTGAACAGGCGTGGATGCATTCAACGCCTGTTTGGTTAAGATAAAAAGAAAAAAAGGCACATATATCCAGTTTCATGTCAATATACCGCCATGGTGGTAACAGAGCGACTGTGTCGAGGTAAGTAATGCGTCTAGTGAACGCCCATTGTGAAGAAATTTATTTACGGAAATGCAGGACGTCAGGCCTTTCTTCTCTACACAACTTGGTGCACAGTTTTTATGTTTTGTATGACCAGACAAAGAGATTTTTGACCACCTTTAGTGCCTCTGAGAGACGAGGAGGCTGTACAGCTCGATGTCAGCGATCACTTAAATCGCATCTTTGTTAATCTTTTGTTCAACTTGACAGTTGGCTTTTCAACTATGCGTCTTCATTTGTACCACTCAATCCGACTTTTAGACCGCCTAAAGTCGGTAGGACGTGAGCGGTCCAAAACACCGATAAAAGCATTAAATGTTAGACAACAAAATGCGTCCTCTTGGTTGAAGTAAGTCCCTTTCCATCCGGAGGCGTGTCGGCAGTGTGGACGAGATTGGAGTCGGTGACAGCATCTCCATTTACTTCCCAAGTGTAGTGGTAGCTCTCAATTATTTTGTTGAGTAAATTCGTTAAGTTTGCTTCTGGAAATCGGAAGAAAAGAAGACCTTTTGCTGTGGTATTAAAAAAAGAGGTTTTCGTGGTTTAAACTTCCGTTCCTCTTTTGCTTCCCTGCCAAAGAAACTTTTCCATCTTAAACTTAACAGCAGTAATGCAGTTGGTGAGAAAACATAACGAGAATGTTATTCCCCAAGGGCAAAGAAGGCTTTGCACCATGTCAGATCCTCTTTTGTGGAACAAAATGTCTCTGCTAACGTGATTTTTGTGTGTTCCTCATAAGGATTGGCTGATCATTTGTCCGACCAGAGCATGAGAAAGTTGCGTGGTGTCTGATTTCACTGTGATTTGTCTTTCGTGTCTCTCGGCCGCTGTCTACTGTAATTCAATAGCCCTCTGAGTTGTCGGACAGAATGACGAGCATCTTGACACCGGTAACTCAGTCTTTGAGTCAAGAAGTTATTTACTGTCGAGGTCGGGTTGGAAGGGGAGTCAGAACACCGACAGCAGGACTGTGGCATTCCCATACTGCCAATCTTTCAAATGTTTGTGAGTGAGATGACACAGTTGCGGCAATTTTGGATAAAATTTGCGCAACTAGTTCGTCCACAGGCATAAAAGTGGAGAAAAAAATTATCCAAAGTTAAAAACTCATTTTAGCAATTCATTCACACGCTTCGCACATGTCTTCAAATAGACGATATCTGAGAGAAGTTTGTGGTTGCTTTTGAATAGCAGTGAAATTGTTGGTGGGACGTAAGTGCAAGGCATTGTGGGGACATTTTTAATGAAGTTGCGTTGACAAACTAAAAATATGATGTGAGGACTTTGCTTCATCCTCCCCACCTTTAGGTGAAGCAGCGTTGTACCGGTAACCCCCCAGTAGAGGTCATCAATCCCGCCAGTTCCGAATGGAAGGTGGAGGTGGCGGAGTTCCTTTGGCCAGCAACTGAACGTGCACTGCGAACGTCAACTGTCACGCCACCACTGGACAGTGAAAACCTCACAACAGGGACCATGTGGCCCCTTCTACCGGCTGGTGGACGTGAGAGCAGCGACGACAGTAAAGGTAGCATCGACTTGCGCAGCGAGCAGCAACGCAGCTACCTCCGCATGGAGCAACTCATCGAACAGTTCATGGTGCCCGAGCGCCTATTTGGCGAGCATCTCGGACAGCCGTGTTTGTTGGGAAGTAAACACAATTGTTGGAATGGGCATGAATTTGCGGAGTAAGTAAAAATTCCACTATTACACCTGATTTTATCGGCTTAAGTGAGACAGATTTGACTTCAAGAATGCGTTTATGAACCCCCAGACCTCCTACCGAACTATCCACACTGCTCAAACTGAATAGGAAGACGTAAAGAAGGAAAGATAGATTTATTATGGTGATAGGGTCGTAGAATAGGGTGGTAATGCGTGTTTGTAAAAGTTGGGGATCAGATGACGTCGGAGCATCTCGCCGCTGTGGAGCAGTGACGAGCAGAGGTTTACATGCCACACAACATCTCGCATTCATGCCTAGTAGGGAAGCGGTTCCGGTTGCCGCCGCATCCACCGTAGATAAAGCGTCTACACCTGCCCAACTCCCTGTCGTAGCCCCACGAAGGCATAAAGGCTCGACACCTCCCCGTTTTAATGGGCAAATCGCAAGGGTTTGTGGCGTCTGGAGCTTGAGGGGTGCAATTAAGTGGGCAAAGTCAAAAAGTCCAACTTAAAATTTGAATTGTTCACGTGGAAATAGAGTGCCAACTCAGCAAGACCAAATTTTTAAGCACATTCACTTACCGCAGACCTCTTCACACTCCTCTTTGCTTCCAAATCTGTTCGCATTGCCTTGACAGCCACCGTAGACGAATTCAACACACCGCCCAGTTGACTGATCGTAGCCCCATGAAGGTAAGTAGGCCAAGCAGAATCCCGGCTCAATCGGCAAAGTGCAGGGATCAGGTCGAGCTGAAGAGGTGGGGTAGGGGGAGGGGGAAAAGTAAATCCCTTTGTATGAACCCCATCTGATGGCGGAACAGTTGCCAAAGCTTCGGCTTTAATCGCTCAATCTCTGGTTTTCTTTTAAATGGGATAGCCACCGTCCCTCTCTCTCCATACGGAGGTTGAGGGGCTTCGGACTATGACCTTCTCTCTTGTTCCTGACTCTAATTTTTTCAAAGACGACTTTCAAAGGAGGAAATAACTACTGACTGAGTGCTAATGCTTGAGGATGGGTAGAGAAACAAAACTGCAAAGCACTTACCTTTCGATAGACCGAAGACAGCCACAACACCAAAGAAGGCGATAAGACCGTACATTCTATTCCCTTTTGTAGCAGTTGGTCTGATTCCTCCCTAAATCGACGTCCTGTTTTTATACTCATTCGAAGGGAGATGGGAGAAGGGAATGAGGAGGAACAAATGCTCTTCCATTTGTTCCCGTTGTTGTTAAGCTCAACCGGAAGTTAATGCCACCTTCAATTAGTGAGTGGGTGGAGCAGCGGAAGTTTGGACTGCAGACATAACTGGGTGGCTTCTGTCGGTGCAATCTTTTTCGAGTGCCTTAAAATTACTAAAATAGGCGGGACGCCTTTTCCGCTTCTTAATCTCTCAACAATGAAGGGGCAGTAAAAGTGCGCATGAGCTTTGTAAGGCCCAAAATCTGAAATTCGAATACCCTGGTAACAAAACAACTCGGAGGTAAGAAGAAAGGTAAACAGATATCAGCAGCAAAACGCCTTTTGCATGATCTTTGAATTAACACAAAAGCAAACACAGTAGAATTGCAGTGAGTGTTTTGACGTTGCTGAAAAGGGCGACTTTGGAGGTCCTGGTGATGAAGAATGTAAAAGCGTCACACTTCAGTGACCTGCATTCAGTAATTATTACGTGAGACAATGTGGATTGCTAAACTCCCTCTTGGGGAAAAAAGAAGTGAGTCTTAAGAAGCAGCAGAAAGTGCTTTAATTGTCTAAATGAAAAAAAGAGGTTCTCCTACTTCTAGTGAGTACGAGGGGCTGGCAGATTTCACGCAAAGTGGACAATTGAAGAACCCCGCGGTGAAGGTGACTCTTGCCGAGGCGGAGACCGCTGCTGCTCGACTTGGACCCAAAATTACAGCACGAAGTCAGGCAAGTAGCTGCCGCAATTTATAAATCAGCATTGACAACTTGTCTTTGGTTGTTTGAATTTTAACGGCGATCACACTTCAACACCGCCACGAATGGTTTTGCCATTGTTTTATGCATAAAATCGACGTTTTTGACTCCTCTTTACCACTGCTTCCAAGCCTAAATTTCATTCACTTGGCAATGAGGAATGCTGGCGTTTGCATTCAGCCATGAAGGATCGTTCTTGCCCTCCTGACTGTTTGCTGTTTTGCCTCCTTTTTCGAAATGGATCGCCCACAGCGGAGGGCACTTACTTGCACCGCTCTCCTAACACCGCCACAGTGATGACGTTGGATGTGCAACAGCGAGCGAGCGAGAGAAGGAGTGGGTAGTCTAGGCGATGGGATGGGCAAAATCCTTTTACATCATCATTTTCCTACCTGAATGTGTGAATGTGGAGGTGCGGGCTGGTTTTTTTCTCTTTTGGGTGATTTATGGTTCATCGAGAGCGAGAACGAGAGAAAAAGTAAGCGAAAGAGAGGAAGGAGGAGGAGGAGGTGGCGGAGGAGGTGGAGGAAGCGAAAACCCACAATTAGAAGGAAAATTTGATTTGTCTATTGCATTCCTCCCTTTCCCTTCTCGCCCTCTCTCTTTCCAAAGGCATAAAAGACACCAATTTTGGGTGGAGCGGAAATGGGCAAAATTTACGGCGATCTTTTGCCATCGTAATTGCTCCCCATTCAGTGGTGATTATGGGGCGGGAAAACAGAAGGGGAAAAAGGAGGTGGAGGCGGCTCTTATTGGCTTCTCACTGCCCTCTTCGATTCTGTGTCTTGGGAAGAGGATTTCAAAGGGGTTCACCAAGTCGTCCTTAGTCCCCCTCCCCCTCCTCCCCAAATCGGGACATCGACGTCGACCAAAGGCTTCCTTTCCTTATCAAAATCACCCGCAGCCGATTAAACGAATCGGTGCCTCCAAGAGCGGTTTAGAAAGGACCCAAGATAATAAAAGTTGCCATTTTTATGCCAATTTTTGTTGCGAGACCTTAAATGCAACTACTGATGGGAAGGAGGGGGTTGTGGTCTCCAATTTTTTCCTCTCACGAGTAGACAACACTCCTCCCCCGAGCCGAGGGATCGCCCATATTGGCGAAAAAGGCACCCACTGGTAGGAACACTTTCACTTCCACCCATCACAGTAGCCGTAATTCAACAGACCAAGTAAAATGGCAAAATTTTCTCCCTTAAGACCTTTTGAAATGTCAGCCCGTATCCTCCACAAACTAACCAATGATTACACTCGCCCCTCTCGCAGCGTCATTGGGACGGTAGTAAACAGACTTTCACTTCCTTTGGATTGAAACAATGGTTTAAGCAAGAGGAAAAAAGAAGTGGTAAATTTAGTCCGAAATGCGAGGCGTTGGTAAAAGTTGAATGCTTCAGGGACCACCTTTCTCCACCCACATCGGGGAGAAAGAGGTGAAGAGGAACGAATGGAAAAATGGCCTCAACTTCCACTTTTTGTCGCCATTTTATTGTCCATCTAAACAACTTATTCTTCCTTCCTTCTCTTTCGGTTGGAGTTGCTGTTGCGAGGTGAGAGTTGGTGATGAAAAGTTGGTGAATGATTAATGACCGAAGCAATCACCGCACCACTGAAGGCGAGAAGCGCGGCTTTGGGTAGCGACTGGTGGGGAAGGTGGTTGCCTCACTCTCATCACCACACAACTCCATTCACCGCATTCCTAGTCAAACTATGATGTTCACGTTAACGATTTGTGGAAAATGGAAGTGGAATTTGGGGATTGGGGGTGTGCCCTCCTCGTGACCGTCCACGCATCCACTCCTCTTCGAGACTCGAAAGACTGTGTGTGGCTGATTTCCTCCAGAGCAGTCCACATCATTGCCGCTCTCGTAGACGGAGGTACAACTGTCTGGACGACATTCAGCCCATCAAAATGACCAACTTGTAAGAGAATGAGAATGAGATTGTCTCACGCTTGACACTTGTGAAGTCCTCCTCCGCTCGTTTGCCAATTTAGCTTGCTTCTTTGGAGTTCTCTGAATGAAACGTTGTGCCACTTTCAGTGGGGTCTTATTGATGAGCTGCTTGAGGGCACTTGAATAAACCTTTTGTGCCTCTTAATTTCAAGTTAAGTCATTACCTTTCCATAGCAAATCCCTTCGGTTATTTCTGGTCTTGTACGCCTCAACCGTTCCATCCTCTCATGCTCTAAACTCCGCACGCCTTTTGACGTTCATCAGTTTGAGCCCTTCTCTGGAAATGGTGCACTCAACGCGAGGCGATCAGAGGCTGGAGAGCTGAAAACCTCCTCATAAGATCCAATCACAGCCCACCTCCGTGGGTGTTGTAAGCTCCATACGCCAGTATAATGACATATGACAGTTTATTGTCATTTACTTCCTTTAAAAAAAGTTGTTCAATAGTTTGTAACATCTTTTGCTTTGCTCAAGAGTGTTCCAATTGGACTAAAACGTGTTCAAACACGATCTGGTCTTTTCCTGTATCCAGTTCAAGGCAAAGAGAGGTGGTAAATGCGTCACTACCTCACACAGATTTCCGAGACTTGCTGCACCATCGGCTTACAAGATTGTTTGTTATTTCATCCCACAAAGCTCCATCTCACTGAGGCTGAAGTCCACTGTTTCTCATCGCTTTGGATGGCCTTACTTGTTTTATGTTTGGTGACCTGCATTCAAAGGTCAAAGGGCACTGGTAGGAGTCGTCCGACCATCTTGTCCTTTTGAGTGCTGTCAGTCCACATTCTCAATGGTTTCACTCCCCTTCACGGCAGTAGTATCGAGAGGGTAAACTTTCCTTGCACTTCCTGATGTCAAATGACAGACAAGACAGAGAGGCTCGGTGATTGATAGCGCGTATCTCGACTCCGTAGCTCGAAAAGTCACCGGTCTAAAGTTGAAATCGACGATTAGATCACCTCACCTTCCTTCGGTTGTAGTCAACCCGAAAATATTACCAAGTATTTTTCGTTTTAACAGACTATAAAAGGCTCCACAAAGGCCACTCGGGGTGACCGTACAAACAGGTCGCACACACACACACAAAAACACATCCAACTTGGGACTATCAGTGACCGAACATCAAACAAATGTCACAATCATGCAATCTACCCTCGATTTCACCGGCATTACCGCCAAAATAAAGGCTCATTTCAACGAAATTGCGATTAGACTGATGCATTGCTCAAGAAAATTGGCCAGTTAAGGTTTAGCAACATCAACTTTGTCCACTTTCTAGCGCGATGCCTTAGTCATCCCCTGGAGATGTGGGTTGTGAAGTAAACAACAAGTTTGACTGTAGTTTTGTTATATGGACGGGGCAGGCGGTTGACTGGGAGAGGTAAGACTGCAGCCTCAGTGGTGTGGAGTCTCATGCTAAACAATCGTATCGCTCCCCTCCACCACCACCACCACCACCACCTCCTCCTTTACCATCACTTTAGGCGATACGAGCCCTCGTGCACAAAATTCGACGACGCTCTTCAGGCGAGATTGTAGAAGAGGGTCTCCCCCCACCCCTTCCACAAATGCCGGATGAGGAGGAAGAACAAAGCCTCAACTTCCACTCGCTCGGACCGGTGATAGACATCGACGAGGAGACCGCCCTACCAGCAAATTACAACGGTGTGGAGGAGAGCAGCGGTCTGCCCTTTGGCTACGTGGATAAGTGGAACAGTCTCCTCCCACCTCAAGGACCTCCAAAAGGAGAAGGAGATTACACCTTCGGAGGTGTAGATGATCGATCTAATAGTACGTGGACGCCCTCTTCAACCGGCATTTAAAGGAGACATGGCATGCTTACTGCACTCTCTTCCACTTTTGCAGTCATTGCAGACCTGGAGGAGGAATTGGACGTTACAGCAATTCCAACGACTGCTGGATGCGGAATAGGCCAACTGGCAGCTTGGCTGGCATTTGTTCTCGCCTTATTTACAGGTAAGAAGTCACCGACCTGTCACTTTTTACAGTATCATTTTTCGAATCTTTTGACATAGCATTTGCTTTGTGGCAAGTCGCTTCCACGGATGCATCGCTAAAAGTAATCTTAAAGTACCAAATTAGGTAGTTTTGGACCAAGAAACGCCACCACTTGTGGTGGCATTGGGTTCAAACATCATCCAGCTGCTGCCTTCTTGAAGTAAGTCCATATCAGCTGTCAACTTGTTCGACGGAACGCAATCATGCGACCACCTCCTTCCAAGTAAGGTGATTTATAAGCAAAGAGTGTAGAAAGATGGAAGAAATCGTGTAGAAGATGGACACAGACTGCACTGATTGTGGAGGCTACTTCGTCATGTAACAACTCGAATCCAGGACAGCGGAGCTTTATAGGCCGCCTCCACCCCCTTCCCCTCCCCTGAGGTCCTTCCATTCCGTTTTGATTAGGCAATTGCCAACTGTAAAATCCGCAAATAAGCGAACTTTCATTCTGTGATTTTTGGATCATTTTAGGTCGAATGGTTCTGTGAGAGTTATGCCAAATCAAGAACAATACCTACCAAATATGCGTACCCTCCCCTTCATCCCTCCAACCTCGCCAAGCCACGTCCGTACACAATAACTTTGCGGCTTGAACCAACTCACAACATTTTTCTGTCTTTGTCTCTCTATGTCTGCTGCATTTCACTCTCCTTGCATCGTCAATCACCTTTGTGTAGATAAGCAGTGCTTCTTGGTTTGTGGAGGACCTCCTTTTAGTGTCTTCTGTGCCAAATTTCCACCTTCCAGCGATGAAGACGATTTGTGGAGGTGTTGGAGGAACCCTCCAAGGCGATGCTGATTAGCGAACTTTCTATTGCATTCTTCCGTGCTCTGAGAAGAAGTTTAAAGTCACGATGAAGAAGGCACTTGCAGAACTTAGCGAGCTCCTTTTGTGCCTTACAGGTAAGAGTCTTGAATAAGTTGTCCCTCCCCGTCCTTTGAGAGGGGATTAGAGGATGCGACGTGCTACATTGGCTTGATTGCTGCCATGGCTTGTGAAGAGGCGATTTGGTATCATCCTTTGAAAAGTGGGATGTGACTTTAACCTTGTAATATCACATGAGTAAAGTTGGAGGGCATGCCTTAAAGGCGACGCTGATACGGCCTGGGAGCGGTTGAAGTTGGCGACACGTCGGGAGCCCCTTTTTACGACCGCCCACTTGAATGCTCAAAAGCATTTGAGGGTGTTTGGCGTTTTTATGCGTCAATCAGCATCTTCGCATTTCCCTCCCTTTTTCACCTCACCCGTGGTTAAGCATTTGATCTTTATTTTATTTTATTTTTAAATTTCAGTATTACGGACGGTGTCATTGACGAAGTTTTAGGTGCACTCAGTTTGCGCATTTGGATGATTAAGTGAAGGGGCGGGATGAAGTGTCTGAGACTCCACGAAGACTTTTACTACCTGAAATGCATTTTCTGTAGGTATTTTAAGAGTTTAAATGAGGTGTTGGTGGTGTAGACAATGCAGAAGGACAAAGGGACCACTGAAGTGGTCCTTAGGTTGAGCCCTTTGGCAGTGCCCTCCAGCAAGTTAAATTGGCTGAAAGGGTACAATGAAAGCATATCAAAAAGGTGAAAGGCTTGAGGATGGGGAGTCTTAGGCATTGCAATGCCAGACTCGTAAAAATATGAGTTTTTTTCAGTCTTAAGGAGTAAATGCAGACGGGTTCACCTTTCCCTCTTCTCCTCCTCCTCCTCCTCTGCCTCTCCTTGGTAATAGGAGAAAAGACAGCACAAGATGACGCAGTCTCCCTCCCTGTTGTTGTCCTATCTCCCGAGTCAGTAACTTTTAGTAATGTGGAGGGGAGAGAGCAGACAAGGGCAAGGAGGAGGACTGCCTCACACAAAACGGTTCAACCATCAAATCACCACCACCACCACCACCACCATCAACATCATCACTTGTGTCAAATGCGTTTTCTGACAATTCGCTCTTGAATTCTCCATTATTGTGGAATAGCAAGAGTTCCTCAATCTGATCGAGCACTTCACAATGAATCTGCTATCCTCATAGGCGTCTTGATACCTCCTCCTATCGACTTCTTCTCCACCACCTTTTCACCACTTAAAGTCGTCTACGTCCGCATTTTCCCCCTACGGCTTTGTACCACCCATGTACACATTCCCACTGGCATCTTCACAGGTGGGGATGGAATGTGGTAGTCAGGATGGAAAAAGGCAACCAACCCTCGGCACTGGCTATCACCGACAATAATGCACATTTTGCGCCCCCGACGAAAGGTCAGTTAGGTTGTGCGGAGGAATGTCTGCAGGCATATGTCATCCACACTGACTGTGAAGCAATCTCGCATTCTTGAACACAGGTGCGTGGGCAATGAAGGAAGGGGAGGGCGCGAGGGAGTGGGGAGGGCGCGAGAGGGGCTGGTGGGTGGGCAGTCGAAGCCGAGATTAGCGATGAAGACGATCTATTAAACTTGTAGCTATCACGGGGTGTGTGTGCGCCGTGGTCATTATTCCCTCACCACACTTGTCATATTGCAGTTGCATTCAAATGTGATCTGTTTTACGGCCACAGCAAAACAACCGCTTTGATTTATCTGCTAGGTGGGGAAGACTACATAACTTCTACTCCTCCTCCTAGAGGTGGTGATGCCCAATGTACTTAAATTCCAACTTTGTGTTGTTCCAAGCCTTGCTATTTGTATTTTCGCTTGTATTTTTACCGATTCGTTTGAGTGGCTGTGCAGAGGTGGGTCATTTGTCACCAACTCCACCTCCAAGATGTGGCCACGAGTGGAGGAGGTAGGTGAGGGTGCGGCTAACTAAGCACTTCTCGAGGTGGTTGGGGAGGTAACCTTTTCAAGCCTGAAGAGGAGAGTAGAATTGGGTATTGTTGAAGTGTTCAAAGCCGTGCACATGGAAGATTTGGAAGCAAAGATCTTGGTAAGGCAGTTCGGGTGAGTGCACGTCACCACCTCCATTCATCAGGAGGAAGAAGTGGAGGGAACTCGACCTCATCACTGACCATTAACAGTTGGGATGCCTTTCTACTTCGGTTTCATTACTTCTCTGACATCCCCATAACGTTGTCAAAGTCGTCAGCCATCAGCTGAGAGGCAAGACGATCACGCTAGAACGGATACTCCCTGGAATTTCAATAAAACGGACA